ACCTGAAAATGCATTAAGGTGTAAAAAGTGTTTTGTTTTATAAACAAATGTGAATGCGATTGAAAACGCTGGTGCTAATAATAATAATGCTAATCTTTTATGTTTGAAGGTGTAATGAATATAGATCCGCTTAAATATACAGATTTTCAAATAAAAAAGGTTTGTGAAACTGGCTATTGAAAACTTAATGATTTGTTAAAAAGTGTAATAGAGAGCCGCTCTAAATGCATATAAACATTTTTTTCTAATACATGTTTGTGGACGCCACAATTGAAAACGCCGGTAATAGTAATAATAATGCATATACAAATATTTTGTGTTTAATGGTGTAACGTTGGTAATACAGAGCCGCTCTAAATGTTCAGAATATTTGTAATGAATGTTTGCGGACTCCTTATTGAAAACTCCGGTAACGACAGCAACATAAATGTTTCAAAGTTTAATAATAAATATAGAGCCGCTCTTCCTGGTTTACGGTAATATAATGAGCCGCGTTTTTGTAACGGCGCTTACGGCTGACGTGACGTCATGTCCGTCTCCCCATCCGAGCGCAAGGCGACTCCAGCATGGCTGACACCGGGCTTTTAGAAGCACTCTTACGGCTGCTGGAGAAGGTGGACGGCGGCATCGAGAGCCAGGATGTGGCGGCGGATCTCGGGGTGGATCATCAGCTGATCGTCGGCGCGGTGAAGAGCCTGCAGGCGCTGGGAGAGGTGAGCCCGCTCTGACTGATGCAACAGCGGCGCAAACCAGCCGGACACATCCGATCCCCATGATCTGTGTTCATCACTGAAATCATGCGGATCAGCGCATTACAAAGAAGTCATCTTACAGACCTGTTAAAATAACTGTTGATATAAGCGAAACATAGTTAGGATATCTGTGTCTGTCTGTCTGTCTGTCTATCTATCTATCTGTCCAGCTATCCATCTATCTATCTATCTGTCTGTCTGTCTGTCTATATTATTCATCTGTTTGTGTCTCTGTCTGTCTGTCTGTCTATCTATCTCTGTGTGTCTCTCTCTCTCTGTCTGTCTGTCTATATTATTCATCTGTTTGTGTCTCTGTCTGTCTGTCTGTCTATCTATCTATCTATCTGTCTGTCTGTCTGTCTGTCTGTCTATATTATTCATCTGTTTGTGTGTCTGTCTGTCTATCTATCTATCTATCTATCTATCTATCTATCTATCTATCTATCTATCTGTCTGTCTGTCTGTCTGTCTGTCTGTCTATATTATTCTTTTGTGTGTCTGTCTGTCTATCTATCTATCTATCTATCTATCTATCTATCTATCTATCTATCTATCTGTCTGTCTGTCTGTCTGTCTGTCTGTCTATATTATTCATCTGTCTGTCTGTCTGTCTATATCTATCTATCTCTGTCTGTCTGTCTGTCTGTCTATATTATTCATCTGTTTGTCTGTCTGTCTATCTATCTATCTATCTATCTATCTATCTATCTATCTATCTATCT